TTATTTTTGTTTTTATATGGTTAGTGAATAAACTTTATAAAAATGGAAATTTTGTCCTACAATTGATAGAATAAATTACTGCCAAGAACGGATAACATATTTAATATTATTCTATAGTGCGAATAATAAATTTACCAAATAGATTTCTCATAAATTAAATTAACATTTCGTCAACTTTTTTATCAGTCAAATAAAAAAATACCATTGTTTTTATTACATATTTATTTCATGCTTAAGAATATGTTTCTTATATCTATGTAAGAAGACATTATAAGCGCTCCCTCTCTCTCTCTTTCTCTCTCTCTCTCTCTCTCTTTAATATAATATAACATTTTACTTTTATACAGATTATTAATATATTAGACTATTAATAAAGAATGTATTACATTTCAGACATATTATCGGATTTTATAAATTGGGAACAAATAAAACAGTTATCGCAGAAACAGCAGGACGCAGTAAGAAGACAGTATCATTGTGGATTCGGAAATATGAAGAAGCAGACTCTAATGCTATAAAAGATCATAGGAAAAATAAATGCAAGGCCAAAAAAACTACAGCTCATCAAGATGAAGAAATCGTCCAGTTGGTTGACGCAAATTCCTTCAATCCTGCTGCAACAGTTTTACAAAACGATAAATATCCAATCTCGGAAAGAACAGTGAGACGTCGCTTGAAACCAGCTAAAGTTCGTTCGCATATACCAGCAAAAAAAAATGCACTCACAGAAAATCATCGAAATCGAAGAGTGCAATTTGCTAATCGATACTTAAATACTCCACAAAAAGAATGGAAATATGGATGGACAAAAAAGTATTTTCTTCGAGTGAAGATGGAAGATACAGAGTGTGGCGACCGGACAGAGAACGCCTGAATCCAAAATACGTGCTCCCCTGTCAAAATAGTGGAAGAATTACATTAGGATTTTGGGGGAGCATGACATCCTTAGGATTAATGGATATTGTAGAAATTACACCACACATGAATGCAGAAGAATATGTGGGATATTTGGAGGAAGTCCTGAAACCTTCTGCCAGACGAATATTTCCTGAAGAACAATACTCGATAATTAAGATCGTGCAAGACAATAGTGCTGTGCACACTTCAAAAATAGTCCGAAGATGGTTTGAAGCGAATCCCGATTTTTAACCAATACCATGGCCTGCAAAATCATCCGATCTAAATCCAATCGAGAACGTTTGAGGCAGAATGCAAACATCATGGATAGCTGGTGAATTGAGAACTAAAGAAGCATTAAGGAATCATATTCAACAAGTATGGAACGAGTTGACATTGAATGTTGTTTTTACGCAAAATTTGGTGACTTCAATATATATATCAAGACGGCTGCAATTGATCATCAAAAATGATGAATTGTGGCATCCTACTATCCGTGATAGCGACGAGCAGTATAGCACCATCCATTTGAGCTATTCCTGTGATCATGTTTTTGATGTAATCGGCACGACCCGGGCAATCTGTATGTCAAAATTTTCCATTAGTTCAAAGTAGTCAGTTAGCTCTTATTTGCAAGGTAGTCATAGTCAATCATCCTCTAAACAAAAGAAATACCTTTGGTAACAGCTGTTATTAGAGTGGTTTTGCCATGATAATTAATAGTTCCAAGAACTTCTTCTAATAAAGTATAATTTCTGAAAAAGAGAAAAAATTCTAATATTAAATTATTATTATTATCACTTTTAAATTGTTATAAAATTCATACTTACCAGTATGGAATCCAGAATCCATCCTTGTCGATGACCATTTGAAGTCGTCTCGACATTGAATTCACTAAATTTTGCGTATAATCAGCATTCAATGCCAACTCGTTCCATACTTGATGAACATGATTTCTTAATGCTTCTCTAGTTCTCAATTCACCAGCTATCCATGATTTTTGCATTTTGCCCCATACGTTCTCGATTGGATTTAGATCAGGTGATTTTGCAGGCCATGGTATTGGTTGAAAATCGGGATTCGCTTCAAACCATCTTCGGACCATTCTTGAAGTGTGCACAGCACTATTGTCTTGCACGATCTTAATTATTGGGTATTGTTCTTCAGGAAATATTCGTCTGGCAGAAGGTTTCAGGACGTCCTCCAAAATTCCTACATATTCTTCTGCATTCATGTGTGGTGTAATTTCTACAATATCCATTAATCCTAAGGATGTCATGCTCCCCCAAAATCCTAATGTAATTCTTCCACTATTTTGATTGGGGAGCACGTATTTTGGATTCAGGCGTTCTCCGTCCGGTCGCCACACTCTGTATCTTCCATCTTCACTCAAAGAAAATACTTTTTCGTCCATCCATATTACCGTATTCCATTCTTCTTGCGGAGTATTTAAGTACTGATTAGCAAATTGCACTCTTTGATTTCGATGATTTTCTGTGAGTGCAATTTTTTTCGCTGGTATATGCGAACGAACTTTAGCTGCTTTCAAGCGACGTCTCACTGTTCTTTCCGAGATTGGATAATTATCGTTTTGTAAAACTGTTGCAGCAGGATTGAAGGGATTTGCGTCAACCAACTGGACGATTTCTTCATCTTGATGAGCTGTAGTTTTTTTTGGTCTTGCATTATTTTTCCTATGATCTTTTAACACATTAGAGCCTGCTTCTTCATATTTCCGAATCCACAATGATACTGTCTTCTTACTGCATCCTACTGTTTCTGCGATAATTGTTCTATTTGTCCCTGATTGATAAAGTCCGATAATACGTCCCCTATCTGCTTCCGATAAATTTGCGTAAATATTACGTTGCATCTTGATCCGTATGGCCGACCATGATTAAACAAATTAATAACTGTTTCACACATGTTAACAAATGAATATATATATAACCGCGCGTAAAACAAACATATATACCTACACCTAATAAATATATTTACGAAATATGATGCACTTTTGATTAATAGTCTAATATATTAATAATCTGTATAAGTAAAATATTATATTATATTAGAGAGAGAGAGAGAGAGAAAGAGAGAGAGAGAGAGAGAAAGAGAGAGAGCACTTATATTTTTATATTTAATAGATCTCTGTAATGCTAGTAACTTATTTTATTGTCTTCTTACATAGATATAAGAAACATATTCTCAAGGATGAAATAAATATGTAAAAAAAACGATGGTATTTTTTTGTTTGACTAATAAAAAAGTTGACTAAATGTTAATTTAATTTATAAGAAATCTATTTGGTAAATTTATTATTCGCACTATAGACTGATATTA